CTTTCTCAGTGAGGACACAGCCATATACTTTGATCTTCTTATCATATGGCAGTCCTACTTTATACACACTCAACCTGCAGCTGCAGAGTAAGTGCACGTCGCCCAGTGAGCTGCCACCTACTTAGTGCATATGAGGACTAGAGAGGGGGCTTAGAAAAATACCATCCATTGAAGCAGCCAACASTGAAATCTGCTCATCTTTTCTTAAGGGTAACATTAAAACTTTGCTTTCTTTAGCACAATAGTTAAGTAAAACATTAGATCTTTTTTTCTGGAGGTACCAGTAGTCAGAGAAAAGCACAGGCTTGATGACCTGCTGCAGACAGTCTTATTCCAGTCCCTCCTAAGAGTGGATAATTTCATTAAGTGATTATTGCTTACATGCCCAATTAGGCAGAAAGAAAATGTGGACCCATTCTTTATGGGATTTATAGGTGAAAAAGGTACTCAGAGCTAATATGACATATGACAGGCAATTAATCTAACCAGGCCATAACTAAATTCTAGCTTGTGATAGCTTTTTTTTTCTTCTTTAAACCACCTAAGCAGTAGCATTTTCCATAAACATTAGAATTTTTTAAAGAGGAGCAAACTAATCATTCTCCAATCATTTTTAAATATGAGTCACCCTCTGTAAAGCAGGTGTATGGAATTTGCAATGCTGCTGTTTGTCTAGCTCAGAACGTGTTTCTCTAGTTATTCRACAGAGAAGCTTCAGATTGATAAGCTAAGAGTGGGGCGACTGAACAGAGATGTGATCAGCGACATCTCCTTTGCCAGTAACTTGTAGAAATATCTTACACAGTCAACTACAGTAAGAATTGGGCAGTAACAGTCTGGAAGAGCTAGTTAATRATTTTTAAAATAGGAAAAAAACAACAGGAAAAAAAGGATAACCTTGGCACTGTTCATGTAATTATATCAGAAGGCCTGATCAAAAGGATATCTTATAAGTCTATCAGCTTCAGCACAAGTGCTAAATCCTCTGAAAGAGTAAAAAGTACCTTATTAAATTATTTTTTCCCACTTTTAAGCTTTAAAAACACAGTTTCCGTTATCTTTCCCTTGATGTTCTATGTCTCATTATATTTCCCTCTTCTGATTAAATGACCTGAGCCCAAAACCTGATGCCTAAGAAACTGGTTTTTATATCTTTTTAGAATAATAGCAGATCTTTAAAAGGGATTAATTTAATGAGAATATTATCTATATACTCTTATATAAAAATATGTTTCATTAAATAAAATATCATTTAATTGGATACTGTCCCCAAATGGTGCACACTAGTATCTATGTGCAGAAAATTACAGATAATTTAACATTTACTTCATTAAGCCTATACGGGCCTTCTATTTGCTACATCCTCAGCCTGCAGTATCAAATTAGCCAGCAGAAGTTCACAAAACCTATAGAGAACCACTGCAGTTCCAGAAAAAAGCTCTGTCCTGTGATGATAAGTATCACAGGAAGGTATATAATTAAGAGTGACTGTAACAACAACATATAAATTAGATAATTATGGATTAAGCAATCCCCTGGGCAATTCTATCTTGCCCTAGAAAACGTACAACAAGCTCCTGGGATAAAAGGCAGTAGTGATTAAGTATTTGAGGGAGAAGGAGGACTATGAATTAAAAAACAAAACAAAATGCAGAACAAACAGTRAGTGAAATATAAACTCACAGCCTCCTTATGGGTCTCATTTGTTGTTTTTTGTTGCTACTGTTTTTTTTTTTAATAAACTCTCTGATTTTGCAGTTTCTGCCCAGATCTGTTGCCTAAAGGGTGCGTGTCAGATTATCAAGAAGGATCATACCAAAAGAAACACAAATTGCTTCATAAAGTGGCAATAGGGAGAGACAAAACACTGCAGTTACTATCACAAATGTAATTTTGTTGTTTCTCGCATCAATTTAATAATCCCAGGTGTCCTGACCACCAGACATACAGTAATCTCTATAAATCCTAATTCACAGCTCTACCATCTGTCAGAAATATATTTTTTAATGTCTCCTAATATATATTCTACACAATTGCTCTCACAGTAGGACAAAAATACATGGATGCACTAATTTGCTTCACCAGTGGAATAATTCATTGTCAAAACATAAAAAACAAAGTAACACAAAACCAAACAACTTAGCACCATCATATTACTGGTTTTCCAGCCCTTTTATACATCAAAATTAACCTTCYGTTCTGTTAGTTTCTATAATCTTAAATTCCCAGAGAAATTAGAGAAAGATTGAATTATCTGGAAATTGCACTATAAAAATGGAAAATCCCAAAGCACAAAAAAATAAAACCATAGTATCTCTTCCTACTATAATGGTGTTACAGTTAAAATTAGAAGCCTTGTGTTTCATAGCCACAAAGAGACTAACTTAAGTCCTCGGTCCTGCAGAGCACTAAGCATTTTGGCCCCGGTCCAGAAAAGCACTTAAACATATGTGCAACTTCTCGTCCATCTGCCCGAAGCCGCTTCAGTGGGATGGTAGAGCCTTGATGAGGCCCACAGCGGTCAATATCCTCCTGGACAACACGGCCGGGCCTCGGGAATCTCTCCCGGACTCCCTTTTCCCAGGGCATGATCCTCCCGGAGCGGGGGCTCTGCTCCCGGGAGATGCAGCCGGACTGTTCCAAGCAGCAGCTTCCTTTCCCACTCTGCAGAAGAAGCCCAAACGTGTCGACTAAAGGCGGCTTTTCAGAAGCAGCAGCTTCCAACCAACTTTCTAAATATCTACATTCACTTCAGTAGCATCTGATACCACRTCTGAACTTTTGATGTCGGCTGTAGGCATTGCAATTTTTATGAAAAAAGATGTTAAATGTTGCTGGCGACAGTAAGAGGATTTGGTTTTAAACTTCTATTTGGGCATTAGCTTCTACACATTAAGTAAGATTACACAGATATGTGCACTTGAGAGCTTAACAGTTACACTCAAACCAAACCCAAAAGCACCTAAGTAAATGGCAAACTCCAAGGACTAATATTACTAAAAATTCTTCAGAAGATACATTTTTCTGTGAAAAAACAAACCCAAATCAATCATCTCATTTATTTTCTGACTAAGGAGGAGACCCATGAACAAAGTATTAGCAACTTCATTCTTTAAATCACAATCACCAAAAAATCACTTGCCACATCCTTCAAAGTCTATGTCTATTAAGTTGTAAAACAGATTACATTAAAAATAAAAGCAATTTGGGGGGCAAGTGACAAGATACAACTAATCACTTTTCTGTTCACAAATAGCTAATTCTACTGGCAGTCTAACAAAAATATTTTCCCATTCTCTAGTATGTTTGAAGTATTCTCATATTAATGGCAATAAGTCCATTATGTCAAATACTATTCTCTACATGCAACATACTGTTTTTCTGGTTTTACTAAATTATTTTTTCTCCTCTAATTTTTTAAAATCAGATATACTCACCATTGAAATCATTTCATTTCTATRTTTCTCAGTCACTCTATTTAACCTGAGAACCCTTTCTGAGTAAATGTCATGCCCAAACAGCAAAATTCAGGCACTGGAATTGATAACTTAGATACTACCAAATGCTGTATCTGCAGTACTTTAATTTAGCTGATATTGTCACAAACGGGTTTATGTAAGTACTTTTGTGATATCTAAGTCTTTCAATATAAAGATTTAGATAAAGATTAACCTTTACTGTCATGTCTACTGTCATGTCTACTTTGCCTCTCTTCTTATTTATAAAACACTTAAAATCTGTAAGATTACGTAAGTTCCTATTTTACTGAAACTTCACAGAATTGAACTCTGATACTGAAGGAGTTGAGAGCTCACAATACACAGAGACAACAGTGCATTAAGGGGAACATTACGTTCACCACAACAGGAGGTCACCACAACATCGAAGTGCAAGACTTCAGAACCTTGCAAAGAACCCTGCTCTGATTTGCATGGATCCAAAGTCCAATTACAATTTTGCTATTAACTGTAACCAATTCATAGCTCCATGTTATCATAAAGCAAATCATCCATTAGCRCTGATGAATTAAAGATTTCTGTATCAAACTCAGTTTTTGATTTAAAATAAAAAAGAGACCAAATAGCACCTCCCCACATGTTAACCTTTCTTAAGYAAGCAACATACCTACTATGTGCTCATACACACCCCTAATATACCACAGGACTTTGCAATAATAAACATGAAAACAGCACAAAAAGAGAGAGAGGGGTGGGTTGCAAAGACAGATTTGAGAAGGAATGGGAAGATAAAAAGGTTAAACAGGAAAATYCCCAAAATACACCCTCTCCCACTAAGAACACAAAGACTCAAGCAAAATGTTTCATGGTTATTCTGCAAGTATCTAAAACTAAATGGCCCTGGAAAGCAGACTCATACACATTGCAGAAGTATTTTCACAGGCGGCAGAGAGGACGGTATGTGTACACCATATGCAGAAATATTCTGGAAAGCCCCTTTTGGTGTGTACGGATTAAATATTAAATAAACCAGATGAAGACAAAGGAATCCAGATACTGAAACAGAAACAAAAGTGAACACACAATAAAGACATTCTATTATACTCACACATTTACAACATGTTATTTATAATAATAGCCGTGGGAAATAAATTACTTAGGTAAAGGCTTGACATTTTCCATCACTGTTCACCACACTAGTGCTTGTGTGCAATTAATTAACATTCTGGCTATAGTTTCATGCTTCCACATCTTGAGTATAAAAATAAAGATACTCAGCAATACTACGCAGCCCAGCCTTGAGACCCTTTTGTTTTCAAAACTTATACTGGTGGCCTTAATAGCATTGCCTGGTGGCCTTAGYAGCACTGCCAAGTAGTTACTAGCAACGTTTCTTTCATGATGGATGACAGGAAGGCTGAGTAGACACCTCATCTGTGGAAGATGTGAATTTGCTGAAAGCCTCTCCTGCAGAACATTCATGCTTCTCAGRCCAGCTGCTGGGAATTTCCATCTCGCACACTTAAAGAAATAGTCTCCTACCTGTGGAGGTTTATTGGGCGCTGGTCTGGTCTCTGGAAACAATGTTTTATCCTTTGACTCTCTACTTTGATCATCAACTGTGTCACCTAGGGAAAAAAAAAAAAAAGCTTTGAAATCACAGAACTATTTTATAGTTTATAAGGAATAGGAAAAAAAGCTTGAGTCTTCATAAAATCTGTTCTCCATGAAAGGGAGAAGGCTATTGCTACATGTATATTTCACAGTTTTGAACACAAGGAAGCAGACATGACAAGTAGTCTGCAAAACCAGAAAATAAATCCAGCTCAGCTAAAGCAGGCCCCTATTTTTGTGGTGTTAGGATTGGGAAATTCTAATAATGGCAAAATGTCAGAGAAAGGAGAAAGAGCAGCCTGAGTGCCTGGCGTGGAGGCTGCTCCAGGTGTGCAYGGCAGTCACGTCCCAGCCCCAGGCCTGCTCCACGCGCCCAAGCTTGGGGCAAACACACGTTCACCGCTGCCTTGTCTCTGCTTACAGCACAGCTTCCATACAGATACCTTCCTGCATGCGAGGGCTGAAGGAGACGGGCAGCATCCTCAAAGAAATTCCCTGGTTTTGATCATGGCTATGCCTACTCCTGAGGTGCCTCTACCCAGGATCTCACTGATGAGACCTAATTTTGGGAGCTCATCCCCCAAAGTTGCAACCAGTACCAAGCAGAGAAGGGCAGACTGCAGTAATAACCCACAGACACAGGATTTCATCTGATTTTAGACACTGAAAGTACCTTAGCAATTCTATCAAAATATAAAACAAATGTAGCATTTACTTCTCAGATATTTTAAAACAAATATCCACTTAGTCTGTCTTCTCTAATGTTATCTGTGGGAGGTTGTGCAAGAGACTGTAAAGATTCAGTGGATTATCTCATGCTGTTTGTGCTACTCCAGAAGCAGTCTGTAAGAGACGGTATCTCAGAAAGATGAAAAAGATTTAAGCACAAAATTGTGGCTTTATTTTGATTTGAACTGATAGTCCTTTCTGAAACAGATTATTTCATGTCTGTTTTCTTAAAGAACAGAGCAACAGCTCTAAACGCAAAGTTCAAGTTCGTGCAGTTCAGCTCGGTCGCCAAAGCTGTGTTTTTGACTTACTTGCTGCATTTTCTCCCCGAGTGAAGCATCTTTCTAGAAGGACTAGTGTGTCAGGCCTGCTTGATACCACACACTATGTGGAAAAGTTCTTGTGAAAATAAACAGTCATATTTTGTCATCAGATGATCTTTTAATATACTCTAATATTCTTAATAGCGTATTTGTATTCCTAACAGTAACTTAGCTTTGTTAAAGGTCATTAGTGCCTATTAATGCCATTAGTGCCTAAACCGAACAAGATCTGTTTTGACACTGAAAAATGCTTCTAATCAAACTATGAATTCTCTACATAAATTATTCCAAAGTACTTGTATTCATATCACTTCATTTAAAAAATGTGGGTGATGGGAAGAGAGCAAAGGAGATGGAGCGGCATCTCGCCTTCAATTCCTCCCCACAATACTGTGAAAACCAAAATTTTCCAGAGACCTGGAGAGAATGATAGAGAAGATAGGATCAGTACTAGCCATGAAAATAAATTATGGTAAACCACTAGTTCACCTTTGTAATGACGTAAGGAGATCTGCAAAGAAAAGTTATTAAAAGTCTTGAAAACAACCCTCAACGAAAGACTGCAAAAATTCTGGTGGGCATGAAAACAGCAGATGTGTGAAGAAGCCAGTAATAACATTTATTTTATTATTTTATTATTTATTTTATTTTTGGGGTACACACTTACTGTGGATGAGAAGGATGAAAAAGAGTTTAAATTCTAGAAAATTTAGGCTAGGTGAGGACCATTTTATCCAGAAGTAATGCTGATTACAGTTAAGCACTTAAAGCAACTGTGCGAGGAAGGAGTGGAACCTGCATCTCCAACTCATTCTAGAGGTGGCCTGAAGAAACATCCATCAAGAATGGCTTGGGCAATCCCATCAAGACAAGCAGGGTAGATGATCTTCCCCCAAGTCCTATGCTCTTTCAGAGATGCAGGAGGAACAATCCCACGGGACAGCCCTCCCTGAGATCAGCATTTAACAAGGGACCTTATGGTCACTGCAAGGAGAAGAGACAAGTAGAAAGCAGCTAGTTGAGCAAGGGCTAAGCAAGTGTCCAAAGGAGGAGATGAGGGGCCAGCACGTGGACAGCTAATTGAAAACAGTGACATGAYTCACACTGGGCAGTATTGGGCGTATGCATAAACGTACACTGGAGATGTAAGGAACATTAAAACATATAAACCATTTTTTTCTTATTTTCTTTACATACCCGTCCTGAGCAAACACTTTGAAAATTTTCTACACATCAAACAGAAGACCTCATATATGTTAGTGCTATCCAGAATACACTTTTTTTCTATGATTAGTTTTTCTTAAGATGAAAAGAAGTCTTTGCTTGAAATCAATATAAAAAAAAAAGAAAAAAAGGTCAAAATGTAAAAACATTAATGGAAAAGAGTAACAAGAACAGAGCATTTGGATAGAAATGAAACATTTTTTGACTTAGAACTTTGACACCCAACTCCCAAATGTTTTAAGTTCTTAAGGAACAAAAATCTAGTAATATCTATAGTGTTTCACAATTCTAATTGTTCTTGCAAGCTTAGTTTTTCATGTGGATCTCTTCTTTGCTAAAAATTAAAAAAAAAATAAATAAGGCAAATGGAGAAAACCCTGCAAACCCCAAAAAATCAGTTTTATGAATCCTTTTTTAGAGACTTACTATTGGAGTTAGTGAAGGTAAAGCAGCTATAGCCAAGTGTCCACTCCTCTTAGTCATCCTTTAGGACAGCTTACAAGAAAGCAGCATTTTCTGTGCACTTCCTTGGTTCCCACCTCAAATATCCAATCAAATTAACCTCCCTTACTTCTCAAAATCCAAGGAATCAATCTTTCCCACCATCTCCCCCATCCCGGCCTCTCCCACCAGCTGCCAGGCTTGCTGAACGTGCCATAACCAGCCTGTCTTGTTTGGACGCCTCCAACCTTCCTGCTCAGCTGGCCTTGGTTTACCATGGATCACAGCTTTCATCTCTTGCTTCCACAGCAAGTCGTAGTTTCTGGTCCCAGTTCAGCCTCAGCCCCTCAGGCTCTCCTGGCCCATCTGGCATTTCCTCTTCTCCGCAGGAAACCCTCAACCTCCTCTTCCAGCTTCCCTGGCTCTTCAGAAGGCAGAAGAAGGGACACGTCACACAGGGCTCGGAGCAAGAACTACGTGGGCCTCTGGAGCACCTTATATGCTCTCATTTGTAGCTCAGTCCTTATGGAAATATATTATAAAAAATTAACAGCCTTTTCTGTGAACATGAGCTTTGTTCAAATATTTTTGCCTTGTTCTAAGAAAAAGCTGATCTCTTTTGATCCCCTTCCCCCCAACAAAAATCCAATCCTATACAATCTTAATGCAGATAAGTATATAATGGTAATTTTGCCAAACAAGATAACTGAAATCTGGCTCTGAAAAAACATGAACTCATGACCTTAGTAGGCAGCACCCTCTCTACATCCCCCAAAGGAGCCTTTCATAAGAACTCGACTGCAAATAAGCCAAAAGGGACCACTGTAATAATCTGCTCTAACTTCCTGTATAAATATAGCCTATAACATTTCCTGAATTAATTTGTTTGAACTAGTGCAAGTTTAAAGCTGTATTTTAATTAAGAGATAAGAGGCAAAATGATCCATTTTACAAGACAATGAGATTCTGGCTTGGTTTAAGAGCATTATGCCAAATTTCAATATTGAAAACATGGTAGTTTTATCTGAAATGCAGTATGCTATTTAGAGAATACAGGAATTAGAAAGGGATACRTGAAACAAATTCTATACAATGTGGTTTAAGCATTAGCAGCATAACCTTTGACATGCAGCATATGAGCAAGGGAAGTTCTTCAAAATTTTCTACACACGTATTCCTTTAAAGTATTCCTTTACTTGTCAATGGAAATATATTCCCAAATTTGAGAAGAGAGCAGTCAACATATTTATCCAATTTTCTGCTGTACTCACACTTCAAATCCTCAATTTTGGGAGGCGGATTTTAAATTACATTAAGCCCCTCCCAGGTCCAAATGAGTGATGTTAAACRTAAAAGTCAAGCCTACACTTTTCCTTTGACTGAACTGGCCCTGGATTTGCACCAACATTCTCCGAGTCCACTGGCATTTTCTTTTTCCAAGAACTCAAGTTGCTGCTCAGGAGAAAATATTTATTCTGGTCTTCAGRATGTACTTTTCTCCTCAGATCTCAGAGAGGAGGTTTTTGTCTTCTTCAAGAATCAGCACGTAGCTGCCTATCTAGATCTCAGCAAACTCTTGCATAGGAAAGTTCAACCACAAGTTTGGCTTCTACTCAACAAGGAAGTGGGATTTCTATTTATATTCTTTCCTCTTCCAGCATTTTGTTATCCTCAAGCTTATAGTCTCTTGTTCAATAGATAACATTTCAGTACCTATATTACTTATAAAGTCTATCCTACTGTCAGCTGAAAGAAAAATAATGTAAATATATTTTGGAGTCTTTTGTAATTTAAGAACTGTTACTTGTCCTTGTCCGTGCAAGGATCCTGTGAGAAAGTAAAGCATGGACAACACAGCTAGCAATAACTAGCGACCAAAAATATGATTTTCCAAATGTCACCAAAGCTTCAAAGGAAGGACAGTTATTTCCCATTATGCTTTAGCTAACTGCCTTTGTTGCCCATCACCACCTACTGCAACCTACTACCTTTAATACTACACCCTACACAGAAATGCTTTGCACACATTTTCTTCTCAGAAACAAAGAGTTTTGAGAGAGGATTAGTAGGATCTGAAACAAGAGAATGAGGCTCTATGGAAACATAAGGGTGTTACTGCATTTTTTTGCCCCTCTTCTCTCTTACCCATAAATCTTCCCTTCTCTTCCTGTGATGAGGAAGGAAGATAGGCCAGAGCAATACTAGGTCATCCTGCTCCAAAAAGAAACTAATAGAACTGCAAACTTCAGTCCATTAATAGTAGCAATGCTTTCATTCTAGCGAGATATTAAACAAAT